TCTACTGACATCTTGATCTCAGATTTCTAGCCTCCAGAACTGAAAAAATAAATTCCTGTTGTTTCAACCATTCAATTTGTGATACTTTATTATAACAGTTTTAGTGAACTAATAAAAATACCAAGCTTCCAATCTCCAAGACTAGAAAACCTAGGCAAATTCTGGATTCTTTCATTTTCTTCATCGTATATATCCAATCTGGCACCAAAGATTTCATTTATCTCCCCCAAATGACTCCTAGCATCTTTGATTCACATTTTCTGTTGTTTCCTTTTCTTCTACCATTTTAAAAACAAGTTTCTGCTGCCTTCACTGTTATCCCAACCTTCATCATGTCATATCTCAATTCCTATAAGTCTCTGGCTGGTCTCTTGTAATCCAAAATTATCTTGTAAAATATATAATTCATGTTGCTTTTATCATACTAGTACCATTGTTGAGACATGCTTATAGTGCCATATTACCTAATATGCTAAATCTCAGCTTGACATTCATGGTCCCCCATAATCTGGACACATTTTATCCACTCAATATTTTATTCCTCTATATACATCATCCTTATTTCTCTCTTTAATCTATGCTCATTCTCCTTTATCTCTCTGCATCAAGATGTTTTCTTACTTTTCTTCCTCTTATCGAAACCTGTTCATCTTTCAAGGCCCTCATCAACTTTCACTGACTATGAATAGTCTGACCCATGCTAATAGGTCAGACTCTCTTATCTTTTACTACATTCTAATCAGTAACTTTCAGGTTAGCACTAAGTGATATTTCTTATATTTTATTTGGATTTACATATATTACATCTCTATTTCTATCAGTTTATAAGATACTAGAAACCTGGTGCATGAAATTCATGCATGGGGTGGAGGGTGTTCCTCAGCCCAGCCTGCACCCTCTCCAATCTGGGACCCCTTGAGGGATGTTAAAATGGGCAGTCAGACATCCCTCTCAAAATCCAGGACTGCTGGCTCCCAACTGCTCACCTGCCTGCCTTCCTGATTTCCCCTAACTGCTTCTGCCTGCCAGCCTGATCACCCCCTAACCACTCCTATGCCAGCCTGATCAATGTCTAAGTGCTCCACTGCCAGCCTGTTTGCCCCCAATTTTCCTCCTCTGCCGGCCTGGTCAACCCTAACTGCCCTCCCCTGCAGGGTTGATCGCTTCCAACTGTCCTCCCTTGCAGGCCTGGTGCCTCCCAACTGCCCTCCCCTGCTGGCCATCTCATGGTGGCTATCTTGTGTCCACATGGAGGCAGGATCTCTGACCACATGGAGGCAGCTGTCTTGATCTTGTGTGTTGGAGTGATGGTCAATTTGCATATTAATCTTTTATTATAGATAGGATAGAGGCCTGGTGCATGGGTAGGGGACAGGTGGTTTGCCCTGAAGGGTGTCCCGGATCAGGCTGGGGTTCCCTTGGGGCATGGGGTGGCTAGGGAGAGGGGCCTGTGGTGGTTTGCAGGCCATGCCGCCTGGCAACCCAAGTTGAGGCCCTGGTATCTGGAATTTATTTATTTACTTTCTACAATTGAAACTTTGTAGCCTGGAGCAGAGCCAAGCTCCCTGCTCACTCTGGCTGTGGCTATTTCTGTTTGGTTTTATGAATCTTCTATAATTGAAAATTTGTAGCCTTAAGTGGAGGTGTAGGCCAGCCAGGGCAGGTGGAAAGCTTTGCTTCCTCCATTGCCAGGGCAACCCGAGTCTTCTCTTTCCAGCTCTGTGGCTGCTGCCATTTTTCTTGGGATTTATCTTCTATAATTTAAACTTTGTATCCTTGAGTTGAGGCCTAGGCTGGCTAGGGCAGGCGAAAAGCTTGGCTTCTGTTGCCGGGGAAACCCAAGCTTCTCAACTGCTCTCTGTGGCTGCAGCCATCTTGCTTGGGGTTAATTTGCATACTCCCTCTGATTGGCTGGTGGGTGTGGCTTGAGCGGAGTGATGACTAATTTGCATATTACTGTTTTATCAGGTAGGATAATGCTATTAATTAATTGATAAAACTCCTTAAGTAGGAATAATGGGATGTTTGAGGACAGAGGGAAGGAAATTGGATACCAAGGGAAGAGAAACTTGGCTAGAACAAAGGAGTATTAGTCTAAGTCAATGATTGCCAGATGTGCTCTCTGGACCACTAGCATCTAAATTATTTAGGATGCCTGGTAAAATGCAGATTACCAAACCCCATTACAGACCTATTGAGTCAGATTCTGAAGCCCAGAAATTGAAAATTTTAAAAGAAATTCAATGACTCTTATATGTACTAAATCTGAGAACCCCTAGTTTAAGTGAACAAGGCAAAAGATTGATATTGAAAGGAAATAGATGTTCTTATGTTTATTGGGTCCATGTACTTTCCATCAGGCTAACAATAAAATGAAATAGTTTCATACTTGATTTGCTTTGATTTTATTTTCCCTCTTCAGCCTACTGCTTTGAGCACAGAAACCCTTTCTTTTATGGCAAGAGTATTTCCAGTAGTGCCTCACAAATATGGACTGGCTAGTACAGAGTACCTTGAAGAACAGAAACTCTGTGGCATTCCAAGAAATTTAACTGAGACTGCTAGGCTAGCTTTAGCTCTTAAGTTTCTCTGGGAAGTAAAATTTAACCAGAAACAGGCTATAGACACTTGGAATTCAACTTTGGTAACATGGAGAGAGAGAGAGAGAGAGAGAGAGAGAGAGAGAGAGAGAGAGGGAGAGAGAGAGAGAGAGAGAGAGAGAGAGAGAGAGAGAGAGAGAGAGAGAGAGAGAGAGGAAATCAACTTGGGAGATCTAGTTGCTTAAGCTTTTAATTGGAACCAAGTGATAACTACAACATGTAACTGATTTAGATTAAAAACTGAAGACCTGCTTACTAGCTCATAGTGAACAGGATTTCTCAGTTGAATACTACAGAAGCAAGATAACAAAATTAGATACGTTATAGGGGAAGAAAAATGTGCAAAAGTCCTAGAATTAAAATGAATTGAAATCTTCTGGGAGAAAAGCTATTTGGTAAGCCCGATTAAGTCTATTGTAGATAGCTTTATTTGACAAAGCATCCTGGCATGTGGAACAGGAAAGAAAATAGCTATAAGATGATCTGTCAGGGAGTTTCTTGTCTCTAAACGAATAAGATTCTGTGCAGTAGCCAATACAGCTTTTAACTCAAAAGAGATACAGAGTAAAATGCAATTATATAGTGCATTCAGTCTGAATCTCCCATATACCACTCTCCTCTAATGACTCCTGAAACTCAGCAATTTATCAAGTGGATGCTCAAATTTATGGTTGTATGTATTTAAGGGTAACACTGGATTAACACTGTATACAATACTTCAGGATTCTTAGGCGGAGACAATACTACAAGTAAAGAATTAATCACCTCTAAAACATCCTAAGTACTTAAATAATTTGAATAGCTCAATTATCCTTATTTTGTTTATCTTGGTTATAAGTTTATAGTGTGCGTTTGCAGTATTTAGTATGTGTTAACTGTGCTAAAATGCTAAGTATTCACTTAATACAAAGGATGTATTCAATGTATATGTAAGTTTATATGGTTAGGGATATAACATATGGCCTAAATAGAGGAAATTCAGATGTAACTGCTAAGGAATGCCTTTTAAAAAGCATATATTGGTGGTTTTCTCTCCTTAATATTTTCTGCTTCATGGAGTGAAGATTTTAGGATCACTCAAGTGGCTATAGAACTGGTGACTTCAATATGCAAGTACTGGAACAGAGAAATTCTGATTTTCATGATAACCAATCTGGGGTCTCTGTTTCTGTCTCTGTCTCTGTCTCTGTCTCTCTCTCTCTCTCTCTCTCTCTCTCTCTCTCTCTCTCTCTCTCTCTCTCTCACACACACACACACAAACACACACAGTAGGGGCAGTATCTCTAATGTCTAGTACATTATCATATCTCCAATGTCTAGTACAGTTATTGGCATGTAATCATTATTAAATGAATTCTTGTAACCACCATAAAATCCCTGTTTGTAATGTACTTCTTACAGGAGTGGAAGCTGAGGCTCAGTGAGAAAGAAGTCCTTTCTATGTCAAGAAGAACAGAATTGTCACTAGAAATCAAATGTTCTAACTTTAGGTCTGGTGCTTTGTCTACTGTACATTTTTTACTCCTAACATGGCCTTTTGGCTGATATTTTAATCTCTCCTATGGTACTCCCTCAAAGATTGTTTGATATGAAATTGAAGAGTATGGTGTTATATTGTTAAACAGGCTTGCCTTATGAGTTCCAATCGAGGACCCACGCCATAGCTTCTGTTTCACAGTAAGGTCCTGACTATACTAGGCAAGAGCAAAAGTCTTTACCCAGACCAGTCTTTGCAGATTCCTGTTTGGTTCCCAATAAACCTCCAAGTAACCACAAGGGAAGGAATTCCCATCGCAAGGGAAGGAATCAGATAGGTAGACTCATATATTGTAGATATTTCCCTTTAGTTTGTAAATTTTCTTTGACTTCTCTCTTTGGAGACCTTCATACCAAATTATATAACCAACTCCTATATTTTCTGGAATTTCTTTTGCTATATGTATTTTTTTTTACATTTGAATCTCAAATTTATTATTATTGATTTTGGTATAAAGTATATGTGATGTAGTAATCTAATGATTTTTCCTAAAAGTTTGGCTATTTAGCCATCTATGAATAAGCTCTCTTATGGTTTCTACTTTATAACATATTATTAATGAACCTAAACCAAATATAGAACAATGTTGGCTCAATGTCCAGTGTTCCTAGGAAAATAAAGTTTTAATTAATTATTACGACAGAAGATGGTGAGGGTGGGTAAATGGAGACAATCCTGTAAAAAATCCTGTAGCCACAAGATTGATATTCAGCCAGTTTGTACTTATATGTTTTCATCAATTGTTTTTAGCTAGTTCCAATCTGATGGGTTTGTGCCCATCACTAACTGGGTATTAATGCTTTTAAAATACTATCCCTGCGAATAGATGTTATTTAAATAAAACAAAGCAGAATTATCTTTACCTGATTCCTCAGTTTCTTTTGTTTCTGATTTTTCTTCTATTTCATCATCAGACATCTCCATTTCTTCTTCTCTCCTGATTCCCATTAATTCATCATTATGTATGTTACGGATTTCCTAAAGTTAAAAAGTATGTTTTTTAGGTGGGAAAACCTTAAAAATGTTGATAAAATGACCAGAGTTAAGGATAAGATAAAGCAGGTTTGTTGACATATAACAAAACTTCAGAGTACTCTTAAGGCAAAGGCAAAAGATCATGTTGAGGCTAAAATAATCTCAATAGAACACAGCAGACTCTGTACACTCTGTCTTGCATTTGGATTTTTTTCCATATCCAGAGCTATGTCAGTTGATGATTTTTATATCCCTCTCATGTCAGAAAGTACTTTTTTTCAAAAAAAATTTTTTTTGTAGAGTATTCAACAGAACTCTTACTAAAACTTTTGCAGGTTTAGAACTTATAGCAAAAATGAGTAGTCAGGAATGAGCTTCTACCAGATCACCCCTTCCATGCATAATAAATATACTTTGCAAGAAAAACACAAAAACCAAAGCAAACCAAAGCAAACCCCTAACTAATTAATGGCAGTGGAGAATGAACAAAAGCAGGCATATTCTGAAGAGGAGCTAACACTTGGAAGAAGGGTGTGGGTCTCTCAGATTTTAAAGGGCCTTTTAGTCTGGGAGCAGACCACCTTACAGGGTGGCTAAAATTTTAATAGAAAATCCATGGTCTTTATATCTTAAAGAAATAAAGAAGAGAGTGCAGGGTAACCACAGTCTCAGAAAGAAGATAGACAAAGATAGTGAAATTCAAATTCTGTGAATAAGATCTGTTCAAATTTCTGCATGACCCATGAATCATAGAAGCACAGTGCAGATTCCAAACAACACAGCTAAAAGAACTGAATTGTGATTTGAGCTGCCATCGAAGACACATAATTTTTAGCTTAACTCTAATAAAGAAAACTAACCATTTAAAACAGAGGGCAAAATCAACATTCTTTGGAAGAACATAAAAGAATCCATAGTCTTAAAAGAAAAAAAATATTATTCATCCCAACCAGTGTGGCTCAGTGGTTGAGTGTCGACGTATGAACCAGGAGGTCATGGTTCGATTCTGGTCATGGCACATGTCCAGGTTGTGGATCCCCAGTGGGGGACATGCAGGAGGCATCCCATCAATGATTTCCTCTCATCATTGATGTTTCTATCATCTCTCTCCCTCTCCCTTTCTCTATGAAATCAATAAAAATATGTTTAAAAAGAGAAAAAAATATTCACAATGTGCAGGAAAAGCCCCAAATTACATGATACAAAGAACTAGGATGAGATGATCCATCTTTAAGAAAAAAGACAATAAACAGAGACCAAACTTGAAATTAACCAGATATGGCATTTAACAGATGAGTTAAAGCAGCTATTATAATTATCTCAGTGATATAAAGAAAATATATTTATAATGAAAAGATAGAAAATCTTATGAGAAATAAACTTTTAAAAAGAATCAAATGGAAATTCTAAAACTGAAAAATACAATATCCGAAATAAAAGTAATTGGATAAATCTAACAGAAGAATGCAGATGACAAAATAAAGAGAGAACTTAAAGAAAACAATACACAGTTATCTAACCTGAAGAGCAGAAAGAAACTAACTGGGAATCACAGAAATAGGGGAAACTAAATTATTCAAAATCTTTGAAGAATAAATAGTTGAAGATTTCTCAAATTTGATGAAATACATTACTCTTTAAATTTAAAGAACTCAGTGAATCCAAAGCAGGATATGTGTGAAAAAAGTATATCTAGGAATATCATAGTAAAACTGCTGAAAACTTTTTACTCTTTAACTAAACTTATTGTGATAATCACTTCAGAATACATGTAATTAAAGTCATTAATTACATCTTAAACTACAGTACTGTATGTTGCTTATTTCTTAATAAAACTTAAGAAAAGAGAGAGAAGTCTTCAAAGCAGCCAGAAAGAAAGACCACATTAAATGCAGGGCAATAGCAATAGAATATTTTGATTTTTTTTTTTTTTTTTAGAAACAACAAAGGCCAGAAGTCAGGGGAATATCTTTAAAGTATAAGAGCAAATAAGAACATCTATTTATTCAGAGTTCTATATTCAGAGAAAATATCTTTCAAGAATAAAGATGAGATAAATATATTTTCAGACAAATGTAAATGCAAGAATTTGTCACCCAAAGACTTGCACCATTAGAAATGCTGAAGAAAGTTTTTCAGGCTGAAGGGAACTGCTACCTGATGTAAATGCGGGTCTTCAGGGAGGCATGAAAACATTGGAAATGACCAAGATCACACTGAAAATTTACTCTTCAAAAAGAGTAAATATGAGAATTGTGTATTTTGGAGCAGTTTATAATCATTTAGAGGCCACTTGCTGCCTGTTAAAGTCTCCTCAGCACTGAGCTGTGTATTCCTTGCCAGGTTAGCTCCAAATGGGCCATAATACAGGAAATATCCAAAGCTGTCTGGTGAAAACTACTTCCAATTAGAGGGATTATAAATATTTCAAAGATATTTCTTAATAATTAATGCCATATTTAATAACTATCTAAATTAATATTCTCCTTTGTTAATCCCTTTATCAGGAAAAATAATGATTTCTATATCAAGTTAAGTTTTCAGTAAAGATAAATAAAAGTAACTTTGAAAAAAGTAAGTGACTCAATGTTATCATTGATAGTTAAAAAGTAATAGAAAAATAAAAGTAATAAAAGTAGAAATATTAACATAACATCCTTCATGTACTACAGGGACATTACATAAAATAGAAGAAAATAATGAGTTGTTTGAGAAAAATGAACCTCAAAGGGCTGTGACTAGAGAGAGATTTGTCATGTCTGATTTTTAGCCATCATGCAGAGAAAAATAAATAAATTGCTTATTTCTAAGAATTTATTCTCTCTCATGAGTCTGGGTTTTAGTTATCATCAAAGAGCTATTCCTAGAAAGGTGATTCTAATAAGGGTTGACATTGACAAATTCAAGTATTATAAAACTTACTACACCCGGAAAAGTCATGGCTCTCCTAGTTGTTTAACAAAAATGTAAACTGTCAGAGGGCATAAACAAAGACCAACTCTCAATTCACAAGCATGATGTTTAACTCTAGGAAAGTTACTGTGTTTTTCAAAAGAGTAAATAAAGTTCATTCTAGGGAACTGCCCCAGGACAAGAAGATCTTATTGAGAGCTAAGACATGCCCTGTAGCTGCTCAGCATCTACATGGCATCTTTCTGTTTCCAGCTGGGCAAGAAAGCATAATATCTTCTTAGAAGTATAAAAAGTTTAATAAATAAGTGATACAACTTATCTATAGGTACCTCACATCTTTTTAAAAATCCCTAGAAATATACCATACCTATTGACAACTTTTACCTCAACGCCTCAAATTACTTCATGAACAAGAGTTACTGGGGGGATAAGGACACATATATAATACCTTAATCAATAAAGAAATTAAAGAAAGAGTTACTGGTTCTTTTAGTTGATAATGAAATAAGGATAGGAAAAACTAAGAGGATATATGCTCTAAGTTATTTAGTCTGGCATGCAAAATGGTTAGAGCCCTCAAACCACTAGAGAATCTTAGGCAGGGGGTGTGGCTTGAGGTTCCCCAGCCTGGTGTCAGTGTGGGGGGCACAGCCTGAGATCCCCTGTCAAGCACCATGGGGGGGGGTGAAGTGGGTGGGGACCGCAGCCTCAGGTCCTTGCTGATTGCTTGTTAAGGCTCCTTATGGGAACTAGGCCTCTGCTGTGGGTGCAGCCATCTTGTGTTATGAACCCCCCCCACCCCCCACCTTCTCTGTGGGCGCTGCCATCTTTGTGGCAGAGTGACAGACAATTTGCATATTCCCTCTTTATTATTATATATAGGATGTGGTGTGAAAAGGGTGAGATGAAGGAATGGGAAAGAGCAGGGGATAAGTAGGTAGCTTCTACACTTACATAGAAATTTGTTTCTGCCATATCATTCAGTACAATGAAGCAAAGCACAAACAGATTCTTATTCAATGCCTATTGTATTATACATAGTAATAGAAATAAAATTAGGTTGATCCAAATTTTGTTTTATGTGTTTTGATGGCTGAAAGGCAATAGCTAGTGTTAATGCACATGAGCCTTAAAACAAAGGTATGCAGATAACTTGAACATCTATCTGTAAACAGGTCTTCAGAGTTTGGATTGGTAAACCTGGAAATCTAGAGAGAAAGTTATTTTAGCAATCACAGTATTTCATTTTACAAGAATGCTAATAATCACCAAGTCCCCTTTCCTCTGGCTCAGTGGTATAAATCATATATTAGGGAGCATGCTAGGGGTATCTTTTAGTGCCTACTGCCATTGCTCTAGTTTCAATATGTTATCAAGGTTTAACTTCTAATCTGTGCCAGCTTCTCAGGAAGAGAAACATGCAGGTTTTAAATGATCTTGTAGAAAAAGAGTTCCCACAACACAGAACTATCAGTAAAGTCATTACAGACACTAACTTTTAGAAAGGGGAAGGACTTTAGAAGTCTTTCATTAACATTTCCAATTGTATCAGCAGGAGCTTCACACACATGTAAATCCGGAAAAAAGAAAAAAAAAAACAATGAAAAAGACTCATTAGCAAACTAGTCTGCCTGGCATATGCTAGCAAAGTGAGTGCCTAAACTCTCTGCCTTCAGGGACTTTATTCTTACTCCATAACCTAACTTTAACCAGAGTAAGTCAGTACTGGCCACTAGTAGGAGAATGACAATTAGACAAGAAGTAAGTACTTTTTTTGACATCAGGAGGTCACCAGCTAGCATATTTCCAGAGGCAAATGGTAAAAAATGCTCAATATCAGGAACTTTCAACTTGAAGACACTCCTGATTTAGGAATTGTAGCTTCAATCTTGGGGGGGAAGAGAAAGAAAGCAAAAAAAAAAAAAAAAAAAAAAAAGCAAGTCTAGTTGTTGAAGTCACTGAGATGTTCTGATTCTCAGTGGGGTGCTATGTGGCAGCCTAAATTCTAAATTTAAGAGAACAGTTTTTTCACTTTCTATAGGATACCTCTTTTTAGTCCTCAGAGTTGCCTGTTACTAAGTCAAAGTATGCAGAGGTTAAGGAAGCTATGACTTAAAAAGGCACCAAAGCCCCAGGCAGTGTGGCTCAGTTGGTTGGGTGATGTCCTATGCAGTAAAAAGTTGCCAGTTTGATTCCTGGTCAGAGCACATGTCCAGATTTTGGGCTGGATACCTGGTAGGGTATGTATGAAAGGCAGCCTAATGATGTTTCACTCTCATATCCATGTTTCTCTCTTCCTCTCACCTCCTCTCTTTAAAAATCAACAAAAAAATCTTTTAAAAAACGAGGCACCAATATATAGAAAAGATCTTATAGGTTTAGGGAATACAATACCACAGGAAAATGATAAGCTATTTCAACCACTTTCAGTTGTTTTACTTATCAAGATGGAGGTATTCTAGATAGACACTTAATTTAGTCCAATCCAATAGGCAGGAAGCATTTTTCTGGGCTTCTATAAATTCTACAAGGCACATTGTGAAACATGCAGCTCTTGGTATTTCCTGCTAGCCATATAGTTTACCCTCATCACTGTGCCAAGGAAGCTCTGCTACAATATTAAGTGATAGAGTATAGAGCTCTAAGTTGTATACAGACCCAGAGAAATGTTCAGCTCACTGGCACAGCTGTTTTTATTGAGAAGGTAATTAAAATGAAATATACGTATATCTACCAGATAGGTGTGATATAACTGCAGAGAGCCTTGATGAATAATATTAATGAAGAATATTTTATTGCAAAGTTGTTTACAAAAGAGTTGTGACCTAGGTACCTCGGTGCACCAGCCAGAGGCTGCCTTCTTCCAATAAGAAGGCAATACAGATGCTTCTCCACTTATGATGGGTTATAACCTGATAAACTCATCCTAAGTTGAAAATTTTGTATGTCAAAAATGCATTTAATACACTTAACCTACTAAACAACATAGCTTAGCGCAGCCCACCTTAAATGTTCTTTGAACATAATATCTAAATTAAAAAAAGAGAAAACTCTGGCAACACAATACATTGTAGAGTGTTGGCTATTTATCCTTGTGATCATGTGGCTTACGGGGAGCTGTGGCTGGCTGCTGTTGGCCAGCATCATGAGAGAATATTGTATCACATATCATTGTAAAGTAAAAAAAATCTTAAGATGAACCATTGTAAGCTGGCACCATCTGTATTGTACTGGCAGGGCTTCTGGCAATGAGTGGGGCAGTTCAGATAGCTTCTTTCACGCCCTAAAAGGTGGAGACTTAATACTACTTTTCTATAATTGTAAGACACTAGGCATTTTCTTTCCAATCTTTATCTTTCTGAACTATCCAAACTACATTTAAAAAGTTTGGATATTTTTATTTTAGGGTACTAAACTCCACTCCTTCCCTTGATCCCTTTGGCTATCCTTCTAGCTCCCTGAAAACAAATACCATCTCATCTTACATCGCCTGTCATAATGCTTGAGATAGAGAATTGCTCAGTAAACATTTGAATTGAAATGCTGAATTTTGTTTGTCGAAGCTCAAAAACTTGAGTTACACCCTAGGATTCTAAAATTGTTTTGAGCTAGTGTAAGACAATAGCTCCTTTAAAAAAATTCCCAATTCCTTTTTAAAAACAATTAAAACATTACTGGCTTTTTATGACTATACCCATCCCTTTGGCTGATGTCTTCAGGAATTTCTTCCAGTGACTCCCAGATCCCTTTGCTAAGCCAGAATTGATGGCTCAGAGATAGTATATGAACAGGGTTTGATTTATTTTCCTCTAAATGTTCTTCACAGTTTTCATATTATTATCACACAAACTATGTCATGTATTCTCACAAAGAAAGAATGAATAGATTATTATCTTCATATTATAGGTTAGAAAACTGAGGTCCACAAAGATTAAATGACTTATTCAAGACTACAAGGCAATTTATATCAAAGTGAGAATTTCTAGTCTTGAATTACCACTTACTAGCTATGTAATTTTGTGTGCATCACTTAATACTTCTGTCTCAGTTTCCTCACATGTAAAACATTAATACTATGGAGTTGTTAATGATAAATTGAAATAATACTGTTTATCATTTATATAGTATTTACATTTTCCAAGCTGTCTACACATGTCTTACCCCATTTAATCCTATAAGACTGGTTTCACTATTAACTCCAATTTACAGGTGAAGAAATAGTGACTAAGGAAGGTTCACTTGCTCGAAGTGACACAGCTATAACATGTCAGAGTTGAGATTTAGATTCATATTTGCGCCTAAGTTCTTTCCAACTACACCACATCTATTGGGAGGTAGGTGAGATAACCAATGTAACAATGCTTTATAAAATGTAAATGTCTTACAAATGCTATTTAAATGTGAAGGAATATGATAATATGCCACACACACACACACACAAACACACACACACACACACACACACACACACACACTTGTTATCAGACTGGCAGGAAGGACTCAGAAACAAAGTTGAAAAAGTTGCTGCATACATAGATTGAATGTGTCAGTGCCTGGTAATGAAGCTGTCCATAGAAACAGAAAAACTTGACATATATGTAACATCATTCCAAAGACATATCAGTGAAAACAAATCTCCCATCTTGGTTTTTAATCTTGGATTCAGAATAACAATTCAATCACACAGATATACTCTAATGTTACGCTAAAAATGTCACTTCAGCACAAGCAGACAGGTATGTGTCAACCTGAATCTGAAATCAGAGTCCTCTGTTATCTTTAAAGTTGAGACCTACAGAGATGGCTGAGCAGGTTTCATAAAAGAAGCTCAGAAATTTCAGTGCTTCCATGTAACACCAGGCAGCTTTAAGCCCAGTGTCAAGATGCTCTAATAAATGTAAGAGAGCCCTAATAATACTAACACAGAATTCACAGGTCAGTAATTATTGTTATATCTGAGACCGGCTAGCATAGAGAAGTAAACTTATAATTATCATAGCTACATTTCACTACTGAGATTCTATCTAGCATAATGTTCACATTTATTACCCTTTTGGTGGCAGGTGGTTTGGACACAGTGGCAAGTGATATAATACATTTTAGTGTTTCGTTAGTGCCTTGTTGTGACCGTGGGAGCTTGGCACTATTTAATTCTGGCTAAAATCCAAATCAATAACTTGATAAAGGAAGAAACTATTCCCCCCAGGGGCTATTAGAATAAAGAGTTACTAACCTCAGCTTGTTTGCACCAGACGCTGATGTTTTTACGCTGGGCTTTGGTGAAGTGGTCCCATGCCTTTTGTTTGGAGGCAGAATGGTACACAGCAACTATCTGCTCAACTGCAGCGGCATATCAGCAGTTGAATTAGGCCAGAGTATCATCCAAGATGGCAAAAGAGAGGACAAAAGAAATAAGAAAAGCATCAAGTGTGTTGTATCTTCTCATATGATACTATTAAGCTGTGGTATGTGTGTTGGGGTACCATGATTTTAAAGGGGACTCAAAGACAGAGATATCAATATACAGAAAGAGAAAAGGGAATTCCAGAGGGCTTGGGATAAAATGGGGAAAAGTTTTAAATACAGGCAGTTTGTATCCATTCAGGCAGGAGAGGCAAAAGTCCTGGGTGAATGTGATTTAGTGCTACTGACTCTGCACAGCATGGTGACAAGCAGCAAACTGTAACAGCTCCTTTTGACCACCTGCTTTTTCATAAACCAGCCCTTCAAAATGAACCTGGATGCTTCCCTTCAACATAATCCATATTTTTACTATTCTGAGGTATGTTTAACCAGAAGCAACATATCAAACCTAAGATGGATGGAATGCATTTTAAGCCTACAGAAATATAGGTTTTATGGAAGAATACCATGTACATACAGGCTTAGATAGTATTTTTCAGGGTCTCTTAAAATGTTAAAAGGGGAAATGTATACAAATATTCTGGGGCTTTATCCTAACCAGTTTAAGAGAAGGGAAAGGTAGACATGACATTTTTGGGAAACGAAAAGGACAAGAGCCTCTGCTTGGTTGGGTGTTCACAGTAAGAAAATTCAGAGGTTCTATTTCTTTCTTTATAGCACAGTTTGCACTCTGTGTATTAATGATTTAAGAATTTATATTGCCATGATACTTGCTCTTCTCTTTTTCTATATCCTTTAGTCGTACAAAAATGTGATTTCTCCTTCTGGATTCTATGCTCATATATATTTTCAAAATAAAAATGGAAAATGATATAACTCTTCCTTAATTCCAATTACATATGAGTCAAGTATCAGAAGAGTGGGCCATAACTGCTTAAAGGCAAAATCATAAATTTGCACTTTATTCTTAAGGTGAATATAGCTCCTTACTCAAAAGGTAAGGAATGCAGTATAGTGAAGTAAAGCATTATTTGAGAATTTATCTGATCTGTTTCACTTAAGGGACTTTGAGTAGGTTTAGAGTAGCACTTTGTTTTGAAAAATGGCCATTTCAGTGGCTTCTCATCCTGTGCCAGTACCTATGACATTCAGTAAAAAAAAATGTAGAAGAAAGGAAACTAAAAACAAAAGATTGAAATAGCAAATTTGGCTTTTATTCAATCACCTTGCCAAACATGGCTACATTGATTATTAAAAGCAGTTACCTAAAAAGCATATTATACGATAAGAATGATGCAAATCTTACAAATGCTGCATTTTAACTTCAGCAAGGAAATCCTGAATGTTCACTGAGGCCTGAGGCTCTTATTATAACTTGAGAATAAGCCAAAGTAGAAGCACAGGATTGTGGTTGAAATGTCAGTGTTTGTTTCTAAAAAGCTGAAGTAGATATGCCAGAGGAAATACACAGGAGGAGGTCCCCACATGTATCCTGGAAGTTGGAGCTTTGTCACTTGGCAATATAAGGAGAGAATACGACAATGAAGGAAGCCTTGCCCCTTGACACAGAATGGCTCTGGCTCCTGTGCAGAGAAAATGGTGACTAAGTGAAGTGCCCTCTCATCTTTTCAGCACAACTCTGATTTCCACTCACACTGAATGAGAATTCCAGAAAGGGCCTGCTTGAACTTCTCCTTTGCTTCTTCCATGTCTTTTTCATGGGCAACTTTCTCATTCACTAGGCGACGGATGTGGCTGTTGGCCGACTGGATCATGGAGTAAAAGTTGTTGGCACTGCGACGGTTCACCTCTCCCCGCTCAATCCAAGTGAGCAAGGTCTGCACGGCTTCTGAGAATTTGGAATCATCTTGAAAAAAATAATTTATTTTTAGAATCATCAAAAGTAACCAAATCTTGATCTATTTTCCAAACATGCCAAAAATGAGGTCACCATGTCTTTTGGAAGTGGTTCTTAAATGACTGGTGAGGATGAGGAGCCATACATGCATATACATGTACACACAGGTAGCAGGCAGGCAGACAGACTGAAAGAACCAAAGACTCATAAAATAGATTGGTTGTAGTCAATGAAGAATTTTCAGAAAGGCAATTGTTTATTCTCTTTTTTGAATTTTTCTCCATCACCATTTATCCCCCACTACCATTTTCCACCTGGACACCCTCAATCACTACACTGTTATCTATACCTGTGAGTTCTTTCTCTCTTTTTTTCTTTTTCAATCCCCCACTCCTCTGACAACTGTTAGTCTGTTCTCTATGACTCTGTCTCCATTTTGCTTGTTAGTTCAGTGTATTTTTTCCTTTAAAAAGTTTTCTTTACTGATGTAGTTTTCACATTTTGCAAATTTCTTAATCTCTGATGGTATGTATGTATGTATGTATGTATGTATGTATGTATGTGTGTAATGTATGAATTAGCAGTGAGAGAACTTCAGAGTTCTATAATCTTATTTTTTAATAAGGAAAAGTAAATTTGAGTCTAACTTGAATTTGATAGTTACTTTTTCCTTGATCTGGAGTTAGAGTATAGGAAGGAGCCTTAGGATGGAGTTAAATGGGTAATTCTTTAGAGATAAACACATCTTTGACCTTTATAACATCACTCTTGCATTCTTTCCACAACCACATGCCTTCCACTCAGTCCAAGTCACAATCTATTTTGATATAATTCATTCTGTTTCTACATTTCTTCACCCTGTTTCATTTGCCTGAAGAAACCTCCACGTATATTTCTGCAACTAGTTAGGAGTTATTCTCTATGTTAAAATAGTAACAGAGCTCTTCCAAAGCTTCTGATACAGCTTCCAGATCTAGCCACTTACACATTCTGCTGTTGAAAACTCCTGAGAGGATGAGTCCATTAGCAAATCATTGAAAGACAGTTCTAGGGCTCCATATCCCTCTTTGGCCAGAAACCCTTATGTGCAGTGGAAATATCTCTCACTGCAATCTGAATCTCTTGCTTCTTGACTTTTTTTTTAAGTGTAGACATATAATGAGAGGCCAGCCTGCCCTTTATAGCAGCTTTTCATTTTAGTACTTGCATATAATCTTTATGCACCTATGCTTGAAGTCCACATGATGCACAAATTCATTTAAAAAAATAAAATGGACCCATTTGGTATCATGTAAACAGGTTATTCTTGAACTGGCATTTTGCCAATCATTTAATCTTTTCCAGTTTTTAAAAATGTAGCATTATTTCTGTGTCTCTGTTCCATACTATGTTTTCTGCTTTCTTTTACAGAAAGACAAAATCAATACAAACAAAAGGTTTCTTAAATGTATGAATCCCTTAGGTCAGCAATTTTCTACCTTTTTCATGTCATCACACACACAAACTAATTACTAAAATTCTGCACCATACCAAATATTTTTGCCAATCTGACAAAAAAGGTATAATTTTGATTCATTCACCCTGGATGGCTATTGTTGTGTTGGTTGTTGTCATTTTTTTTATTTGACAATCTAAGTGAAAAGATGTCAGTGCCTCTGAGTAAATAGGTGTTCTTGCAGCACACCAGCATGCCTTTTGTGGCACACCAGTTGAAATTGCTGCCTTAGGTTATCTGGTGCAAACAAGTTTGGTAAATGAGACCTATTGAAATTAGAATTAGCAGCGCCTTGCTGAGCCTAGAGCACAAGAAGCAAATTCATACCTTTAAACCTGGTTTGGTGTCATCAACACGATCAATGGGGCACCAGCATTTATCTGATAAAATCAACCATACTCAAGAATGAAAAGACTGAATTTGAGCTACTAACACAGGAGAGTAGGCAGGGAAACTGATGGTAAGCAAAATGCTTCAGAGGGTCAAGCAAGAGAAACAGGAATCAAAATTAAAAGAGAAGCAGTCTCATTTAGCAATGTCTAGAAATTTCATGGACACTGTGTGAAATAAGTTGAGCACTTTAAGTGATAAACAAGTCCTCTTTTGTTGGTGGTAGCTAAGTCTTTGAGTAATCTAAGGAAAATGTACACTATGACTACTCTTGGGGTCTCCATTTTCTTATCTGTAAAATGGGGATTTTTACCAGAGTTTTCCAGGGTCACATCAAGTTCCATCATTCTAATTTATTCTGATTTAGAATTCTAACTTGTTATAAGTGATGAAAGGAAGGGTGCTTACATATCCAAAGTCATGGATTACAGCTAAAATTCTCTGATGTGGAGAGGGGGGAAACTTGTTTCTTTTTAGAAAGCTGATGTTGTTGAGAGAAAAAGCACCATTCCTTGAGAGAGTAAAGGAATGAAGACAGGTAGGACGAATAGATTTTCTGGCTCTTGAATTACTAAATACAACTCTCTATCTGTAAGGTTCAAATACAAGAAATGTCTAAAATTTATTAGTGGAAAGTTCAAATGATAATTGCACAAACTACAAATATTTTCATTAATTTTCCCGAGAGGGAAGAATTATTTTACTCACAAAGCTTAAATACTTTCTATACCTTTTAGTTTTTCAGCAACAATGCTGCATTCATGATCTGAATAGTGGACCACTGGGGGTGGGGATGGTGGGCGCAATCGTTCTTCTTCCATCCTTCTACGGTGGCGCTCCTCCCTTGCTAGCATACGCTGTTTGCATTCCCACTCATACAGGTCATCTCGAGCTTGTGCAAAATCAACGTGGATGCGGCCTGTGTCCTTCTTGTCAGTGCTAGAGCCCAGACGAATGCGGTAACCTAAATGCACAAGAGGAAGACAGAGGAATACAAGATCATCCAAATGAATGAGCAACTGTAGATACCTTTCCAAGTTTAATGCTTCAGATGGGGTTACAACAGTTCAAAGTGACTATATGACCCCAAATTCTCTCCCCACTATTAGCAAGGTGAACTATCAAAAGACTTGGATTATAGTCTCATCTCTGATAACAGTTTACTATTCTATGGGTTAGGTCAGTCTTGTTGCAGGTTATCCATCTACAATCTTACCTCTGGCAGAGAGAGGCTCTGTGAATAATGGTATCAAGAATGAGTCTTATGATGCCAAAAGCACAATTAACAAAAATATCAACAAATAGGAATACATCATACTCAGAAGAAATAATAATAAAAAAAGATAACTTACAGAAGAGGAAAATTTTTTGCTAACCATACATCTAATAAGGGGTTAATATCCAAAATATATAAAGATCAATCAACTCAATAACAAAAAAATATCCAATTAGAAAGTAGAACTAAATAGGCAATTTCCCAAAGAGGGTATCAAATGGGCAACAGAAACATGAAAAGATGCTCAATGTCCCTAATCATGAAGGAAATGCAAATCAGAACCACAATGAGATGTCACCTCACACATGTCAGAATTGCTATAATCAACAAGACAAGTGACAACAGGTGCTGGCAAGGATGTGGATAAAAGGGAGCCCTTATACATTGTTGGTAGGGATGTAAATTTGTACAACCACAAAACAATATGGAGGTTTCTCCAAAAATTAAAAATAGATCTACTATACCATCCAGCAATTCCACTTCTGGGTACATACCCAACAGGATTTTGTTGAGAAACATGCACTCCCATGTTTATCACAACATTATTCACAATAGTCAAATACAAAACAACCCAAATGCTCATCAGTGGATGAATAGATTAAAAAATAAAAGATGTGATAATTTTACATAATGGAATATTTTTCAGCCATGAGAAGAGAAGATATACTCCCACTTGCAACAACACGGATGGACCTTGAGCACATTATGCTAAGTGATATCAGTCAAACAGAGAAAGTCAAGTACTGTAATGTTATTATTTATATATAGAATCTAAACAAGTTAAATCTGTGAAAGAAGAGAGTAAAATGATGGTTATCAGGGGGTAGGTTTAAATTAAACACTCAAGTGAGTCTCAAAAATACAGATAAGGGGGGATAAGAGTGTTGATAAGAGTGTTGGTGTTTTGGGGTACAAATTTGTAACAAGTAGTAAACAAGCCATAGAGATCTAATTCACAGTATAATGAACATAGACAATTAATAGGGTGCCCGGGGCTTGGGGTGAGGCTTGTTAGCTGTGCCGTTAGCTCTAATGAGGATGCAGCTCATGCCTCCCACCCTGGCTCTAGGGACCTGCATGACAAGCCAGTCATGAGCAATGGGGGAAGCAAATCCTAAAAGAACTAGATGAGTATTATGAGAAGTTTAAACAGAAAAGGAGAGTGCTATACTGCATTCAAAAAACCCTGTTAGGAGCTGGGCAACCAGAAGATCCAGATTGTGAGTCAGATGGTGGAGCCGGTGGAAAACCGGAACAGACAGGTAGAAAATCACATGGAATTCTCTGAGATGCACCAAGAGGTCAATGATAGCACTGGCCATAGTGGCAAAGGCAGCCATGTTAAGTACAAGAATGAGACAATTACACAGGCAGAAAAGCCCAATAATAAGATATCTCAGCAACAGAGCAACAGTGCAAATCAGAAGAATGCATTTAATAATCACAATCACAGTGACATCATCTCATAAACATACAAGGAGAAGCAAAGGCCTCTAAGAAAAAGAAATGCTCCAAGGCCAAAGCAGAGGGGTAAGCATCCCCTTCAGACCTTCCCATTGACCCAAATGAACCCATGTACTATCTGTACAATCAAGTCTCTTATAAGAGAAATGATTGGCTGTGACAATGAGGACAGAAGCCCCATTGAGTGGTCCCACTTCTGTGTAGGACTGAAATCATAAACCAAAGGGCAAGTGTCAAGGGGAGAACAAGAAAACCGTTGACAAAGCCCTGAAGAAATAAAAAAAAGGAGAGGGATTATAATAGGTAGTTGGTGGACATTGCTGAACAGTGAGGAGTACTAAGCCAGTGAGATGCCAAGACTGTACAATGTATATATTTTTAAAAATGTTAGAAAAGGAGCCATTCCTTTTGTAGAGGTGGCGTGATTCTCTTTGGATTTTTTCCACATTGGTACATATATGTAACAAGAAAGTAGTCTGTGGATAAACATTTTAGAAACTACAAATACAGGTTTAAATTAAACACTTGAGTCTAAAAAATACAGACAATAAATTGTACTATAAATATGTAATGTGATAAATACTGCTATATCAGTAATCACATAAAATATAAAAATGTATCAAAGTAGCACATTGTATATCTTAAACTTACACAATGTTACTTATAAAATTTATTCAATTTAAAAAACGAATGAGCAGTTAGGGGTGATTAGGCAGGCAGGCGAGTGGTTAGGGGTAAAAAAAAAAAAATGAATGAGTCTTATATAGCACCATGGGCTGGGAAGAATGGAAAAGGTACCCTCAAAGTATGGTGCCTTTGAATAACTTCAAGAATGTCAGTCATATCACCCCACAGAATTTTAATAAAATTTACTTTTTAAAGAACAAAATACAATTTTTATTGTGGTAAGAGCACTTAACATGAGATCTGTCCTCAACAAATTTTAAGTGCATCAGCTTGGCATTTCAATCCTGAAAAATGTTTCCTAGATGTATTTGGTGACTCTGAACCAATTTTTTTGGGGTGGAAAATAGATATGATAAAGAGGTATATGATCCAGGTGACACATATTTTGGGATCCTTAAAAGAAATGGCAGTGTGATTGTAATATAATGGTACAGGACTAAGATTCAGAAAAACCAGGGCTCAAGTCCATACCTCCACTTTTTGTGCCAGCTGTACTCCCAAAGCTAAGTCAATTAACAAAAAATGAAAAAAAAAACTAAGTTTATACTAACTTTTAAAGTTTCAGAAGCTAAGCTAGTTGCTTCCATACTCATGTGTCTTATTTCATTCTCAGCACAAGCTTGCAGAGTTACTCCTGACTTAAACAACTAAAAATATGGGCAAAGCATACAAAACAATAGTTTTTAAGACATTGGACATCAGGCAATGAAGACAGAGATCATTGAGAGAGAAGAACCAAATGAAATGATCCCTATGATTTCCTCAGCTTATTGCCTGAAGAGAGATTCTAAGCCTCAGCACAGAGAGGGGAACTCAAGCAAAATACAGTGATCTCCCTGAGAGAGGGACTATGGTAGATAGATTTTGTATGGCAGAATACTGGAGAAAAAAGCTACACAGAGAAAGAAAGTTAAAGATCTGAAGAAAGTCCTCTACTATTAACTGGATATTAGTGTGTGTGTGTGTGTGTGTGTGTGTGTGTGTGTGTGTGTGTGTGTACACTACCTGAGCATTAGAGGTAGCAGTTCCTGGACTTCACATAGGGCTGGGAATAACACTTTAACACCAGCCAGAGCAGAAAAATTAATAATTTACAGAGTAATCAAAGGGTTTTGCCTTAATTAGTGAAAAATAAAAAACTAGCCCTAGACTAAACCATGCTGCATCCCAGAACTAAGCTCAAGAATATTTATAAGAATAAAATGATTTGGTACCCAATAAGTGAAATTTCACATTGTCTGATATCAATAATTACCCAATGTGCAAAGAAGCAGGGAAATAATAAATATAAAAAGTTAATTAATCAAAACAGACCCAAAAAGTAATATAACATAATGATAGATAAGGACACAAAAAACAACTATTATAATTGGATTTCATATGCTTAAGTAGCATATATTTAACAGATTAATTAGAAACACAAAAGACATAAAAAAGAACCAAAATCAAATTGCTAGAGATTTTTAAAAAAAATATATATATTTTTTGATTTCAGAAAAGAAGGGAGAGGATGAGAGAGATAGAAATATCAATGACGAGAGAGAATCATTGATTGGCTGCCTCCTGCATGGTCTCTACTGGGGATGGAGCCTCTACCCGGGCATATGCCCTGACAGGGAATCGAACTGTGACCTCTTAGTTCATAGGTCGATGCTCAACCACTGAGCCATACTGGCCAGGCCAAACTGCTAGAGAAATTTAAGCTACAAAGTCTAAATTGAAAAGAAAAAAATAATCACTGGATAGTACTAATGGCAAATTAGACATTGCAGAAGAAAAGTTTAATCAACTTGAAGACATAGCAATAGAATCTATTAAAAACAAAATATATAGAGAAAAATGACTGAAGAATAAACATAGTACTAGTGAGCTGTGGTTCAACTTCAAGGGAACTAATATATGCCTAATGGAGTCCTGATCGAAGAAAGAGGAAGGAATATAAAAATATTTGAAGAAATAAGGGCAGGAAACTTTATAAATTATAGAAAACTCAAAGATCTAATAATTTCAATGAATTTTCAAGCACAAGAAACATGAAAGATATTACACTAAAGTAAATAATCATAATTTTGCTCAAAATCAGCTATAAAGAGAACATCTTAAGGCTGCTATAGACAAAAGACACATATACAGAAAAGCAAAAATATAAGGATAACATCATATTTCTTATCAGAAACAATGCAATCAAGAATATAGTGGAGCAACATTTAAGGAGGTGGAAACCTGTCAACCTAGAATTCTATACCAAGAGAATATATCTTTTAAAAAGAATGGTAGAATAAATTCTTTTTGATACAAATGCTGAAAGAATTCACCAGGAGCAGATGCATTACTTTTAAAAAGGTTAAAGAAAATTCAAGCACCAGAAAATGATACCACATGTAAATATGGATCTATGCAAAGAAAGGAAGAGCATACATAATATATAATTACTTTAGAAAATGCACACTAATTAGATATAAAAAGGATAAGTGGTTGCCTAGAGAGGAAAATCAAAAGTTGTAGGGAGACAGGATTACAAAAGAAGCATAAAGAAAGCTTTTGAGAAAAAAAAAATAAAAAAAGCTTTTGGATGAGGTGGACATATTCATTATTTTGATGCTAATGATGGTTTCACAGCAGTATGTGTCAATATCAAATTATATTTTTAAAATATACTAAGTTCAATGTATGTTATAAAGCTGTTATAAAGAATAATATCTATTAACACTAAAAATGCCACACATTCCTTTTAGAAAGATGAAGAATACATACATTTCATAAACAAACTTTGTTAGGGGCCTTTACAGTTTACAACCCACTTTCACACCCATTCATCTTATTTGGTCATATGAGCTGAGCCATCAGAAAAATGGAGTTATTAATGATTATACACATATAACCTATTTGGCTAGGGTCATCGAGAAGATCAAATGAGAGGATGATAGGAAAGCTTTTTGTATACAAACAAAATAAATACTGTGATGCTGTGATAGTATCATGTGCACAGGGACAACTCCCAAAGCTGTTCAAACTGAAATAGAACAAAATTATTATTTCTATATTTCTAGCCCCCTTTCCTAAGAGATTTTTTTTAACCTCCTTTTTTTTTTTTTCTTCTTCTCTTTTTACAATGTGGGAGAACAGCCATCCAATTCCTAGCACTTGTAAACTTTTATTTAAATGGAAAAATTTAGTTGTTTTCACATCACTGATTGCAATTCCCTTTCCTTTGGCAGTTTTGAGAATATTACTAGCGAGCTGATTTCAATGACATATAGATGGATGCCTTCTGAGCAGCATGTTGTCTTTTATGATACAAATGCTGAAAGAATTCACAAGGAGCACAACTGGTCAGGGTTTTTCAAAACCTTAATGTTCTTATCAAAATAGTCTATTGTGGGAGGCTCTTTTATCATTGCTAAGTGCTGTCGAATCTTCAGCAGTTAGATTTGATAGCACCTAGCAAATTTAATCAGTGTATTCCACATCTGTCTCCTCCTCTTCTTTCCCATGTTACTAGTCCTACTTTTTCAAACCCTGATTACATTTTCCCTGGCTTATTGCAACAGGAGTCTACTGACCTCCTCTCCTCTTTTTTCTTCTCTCCTCTAATTCATTTTTATACAGAGCTGACAGATTAATCTTTCAGAAACAATCATATTCCTTGTTCAAAATTTTTCAACAATTGCTATTACCGAATGAATAAAGACCCAACTAAGTCATTCAAAGTGTGCTAACAATTTATGTTTTTCCTCCTCCTTTAATGTCTACTCAATACATGAACCATTACTAATTATTTCCTTGAATGTTTACCAAAAGTTATCACCTTTGTACCTTTGTTCATGCTGTATGCATGCCCCATTGCTTATATCCAAATCTTTTCTCTTTGACAAAGACTTGGTCTAAATGCTACCTTTCTTTCTTGCCCTGGTGGGTTTGGCTCAGTGGATAGAGCATCGGCCTGTGGACTGAAGCGTTCTGAGTTTGATTCTGGTCAAGGGCATGTACTTCAGTTGCAGACTCCATCCCTGGCCCTGGTTGAGGTTTGTGTGGGAGGCAACCAATCAATGTGTCTCTCTCACATAGATGTTTCTCTCTCTCTCTCTCTGTCTCTCCCCTCCCTTCCTCTCTCTAAAAATCAATGGAAAAATATTCTCTAAAAATGCTACTTTTCTTGGTATTCTCTCTCTCTCCTACCTTGGTCTGCTGTATAGCCAGAAACCTATTCTGCCCAGCACTCAGCAAGTATTCAATAACTCACTGACTTCCATAGGTAATTTTGAGCATCTATGTTTGTTCCAGACTATGTGCTAGATGTAGTGGGTTCAAAGTTATATAAGACACAGTTCTTTCCCCCAAGGAGTTCACACTCTGGTTTGGAAAACAGATGTAGAAAGAGACAGTTCTAGCATGGTTATAAATGTCATGTTTGGAGAATGCAGTGGGTGATATGGAATCATTGAGGAAGGGGTGACCAAACCAGCTTGGGGTAGAATGGGGAGAGAAGTTAGAGAAAGCTTTCCAGAAGAGGTTATGCTTGAGCTGGAATTTTAGGGTGTGAAGATGTGTGTATAGTGGGTAAGTGGAGTGTGTGAAAAAGGTAATTCTATTCAGAGGAAAAGGCATAAAACACCACAGCACATTCTAGTATTGTTGGGACATGTGTGTGAGGAGATTGGGAGATAACTGAGGTAAAACAGGTAATTAAGGCCTTTAGATGCTACAAGTAGTTTAGAGTTATCCCATAGAAAACTGAGAAGTATTAAAAAAAAAAAAAAACTTCAAAGAAAGAAATTACTAGATGGTAACATGCATTTTATTTCTCTGAAGGTAAGAGGGGTTACTATTAGGCCCAAACTTTAGTTGCCACAGATGCAAATACATTGATCCAAAACTCTGCATTGTGCTGTGATAAGCAGAATCCTCATGACTAAATACCTACCAGAAAGATAAAGGGCTTTGTCCACCATGAACTCCTCAGCAAAGCGAATGTGACAAAAATTCTTTTTGCTCTTCCGAATAGCAATGATCTCTCCACACTGTTCAAACACTTCCACGATGATCTGCTCTGTCCCATTTTCAGGCAGGCCACCCACAAATACTGTTTTGCATCCTGGTGGTCGTTCTCGGGTTGCAGGAGGTGGAAGATCTTTATGTAAGTGAAAAAACATTTGAAATTAAAATGCGCCTTTGAGATAAACCTCTTTGAAACTTATCAGATCCCAGACATAGCCTTACTGTCCCCACCAGACTTAGCTGAAGAGTGCCAGAAGCAAGCAGCCCCAAAGTGCTCATCTCTGATCCAAAGAAAATTGGTTGCATGAACCTGAAAATCATTTAATTCAATGGTTTGGTGCCCATAATGGCTACAGGATATAGATTCAGACCTGTTTGTCCCATGCAGAGCGTTTTAATTATGTTCTTTACTTTTGTTTTGACAACAATCTAGTCTCAACTTTCAGTAATTTTATTAAGAAGACAGTTCTTTGGGGGAAATCACATTTAGTTTAAATTCTTCGGTTCAAGATTTCTCAGAACCAGGGTCCCTGAGACAAAGGTTTGTATAATTCAGTTTGTAGTTGCCATGTTCTCTCTGTTCATCCTTACTGAAAGAACTGTTTTAGGATTAATTTGATAATGATGGGGTGAACATTTACAAACATACTTATAGATCTCAGAATGATTTGATTGACAATGTCAGCCAGGGTACAAATGATCTTTCTAAGTTTTATTTTTATTTTTATTTTAGCTTTTAAAAAAAATACCAGTGAGCTCTTCCTCAAATTCCTTGATGGAGAGAGCTGAGGTCTCAAGCCAACCATGTAGCATTTAGAGGAAACTATGAAAGAAGAAAAAGTAAGCCCATCTGGTTAATCACTAAAGTGACATAAAATTGGCTATAGAAAGACATTATAAACTTGCTTAATGAGATGATGCTCTCTCTGCTTTAAAAATATGGGCTTACCAGTCACTCATTTTATATATAAAGCCTGTGTATTTGTCAGCTCCTTACTGCTATTTATATGTTTCAAAGCATTTTCCAAGCAAAATCCCACAGTTTACAGTCCCCAGTACAAAGCCTGATGGTCAAGGTTTTTCTAGTGTTGTTTTGGATCTGCAAGGATTTATTTTGTTTAATCCATTCTCTCCACGTAGCTCTTAATAATAATTCTTCCTGCTCAAGATTTGGAGAGCGCAACAAGTAGTGATTACAGCTCACATATAAAAATAAGTGAGTCTCACTTGTGGATTAAGTCCAGGCCCCCACCTGGCTTTTATCCAAGTTAACAAGCAGGTGATTTTGGAGCTTCCTTGGGTATTGGCATCTCTAGCTTTGTCATTTTGCTACTGCTGTCTGTCTTATCAGTGTGGCTCAGAATGATCAGGCTTTCATGATGTTTTCTTTCCCTCTTTTTAGTCAATAAAAGGGGAGAGAGATTCAGGGAACTTACAAAGTTTCTGTTAATTTTTAAAATGTCAGTAATTTTAAGAACTCACTGTATTGGTTTTTTGATCCATATGAGAAATTTAAAGGGAAAAAGATAACCTAGTGAGCAGGAATCTGAAATGTCTTAGTCATGGACACTAGAGAGGTTATAGTTTCAATCAAAAGGGGAAGATGAGGTCAGAATCTCTTGAGATTTATGCTTTTTAGTTTTTAAGAACCAGAAAGGATTCTACGTATCACACTTCCAGTAATTCTCAATTTTAGCAGCACGTGAGAATCAAGCTGGGAGTCAAACAAAGAAACACACAAAAATGCTTAGGCCCCACTCTAATGAATCTGATGCAATTAGCCCGTAGCGCAGCCTGTGTATTATTTTTTAAAGCTCCTCAGGCAAGTCTAATGAGTAGTAGGATTAAAAACCACTGATTTGGTTGAGACAATTATTACAGAGCAAAAATCTTAGCTGAGTGAGGTGGAGTGTCTCACTCAAAGCCATCAAGTTTGATAGAAAGATAAGGAGCATGAACTTGGAGCAGGTAAACCTGGATTTAAGCCTTAATTTAATTACCCACTGCCTGTATGACCATAGGAGAATCTCTGAGACCTCATTTTTCATCTCTAAAATAAGGATACCTTATAAGGCTTACTGTAGGATAATTAATAATCTACTTCTATATTGCATGTGGTACAATGTATAGTACTTGATAGGTTCCCAATAAATAGTAGTTACTATAGTGTTATTATTATTTATTATATTTATAGAACCCAGGTTTCCTAATTACCAATCTGGGGCTTCCTAAAGCCCTACCACAAGTCTGGAGTAGAATGGTAGCTAAGACCTGGATTACTAAACTCATAGCTTCTTGCTTTATCCAGATTTTTAGATAAGACTGGGCTTGTGAAGGAATGACTCTTATGGACAGAGGAATCTACAGCTGTGAAGACACATATGGTTTACATAACCCAGTCACTGACCATATAGGAAGAGAATTTGCAAGAACATACATATAGTTAGAGCAATGTTTTCAAATAAAAGACTTCAGAATAATTCTGTTTCAGTACCCTTCTGAAATCCACTGTGGAAAGGAATTTGGTGGTAAAGAATCTTGTTGTGAAACAAATGATCACCTTTTTATATTATACTAGAGGCCTGAAGCACAAAATTTGTGCAAGGGGCTCAGTCCTCACAGCCCTGCCCCCCACCCACTGGTCATTTCAGAAGGTCATTTCACCGTCTGGTCTAAATAACATATTAGTTCTTTATTACATAGGATGAGTTTGCTTAGTTAGGTCTACCTTTAGATTTGTTGAGAGGCTATAAGGAATATCTGTTTACTGCTGCAGTTACATGTAACATTGCAAATGGTGGGATTTAAAAATTCTGTGATGGCCTGGCCTGTGTTGACTCAGTGATTGAGCATTGACCTATGAACCAGGAGGTCACAATTCAATTTCTGGTTAGGGCACACTCTCAAGTTGTAGGCTTGATCCCCAGTGTGGGGTGTGAAGGAGGCAGTCAATCAATGATGTTTCTATCGCTCTCCTTCTCCCTTCCTCTCTGAAATCAATAAAAAATATTTTGAAAATAAAAAATTCTGATGAAGTAATAATCTATTTAGATGCTATGATTATTCTGTGGTGACTATCTGCTAAGGAAATGGGCATAAAAGTTACTAAGAGTAGTGTCAAGAATTCTGGGGATTTATTTATTTTTATTGTGTAAATGTAGAAAGTCTCTTTGATAGCATTTGCTGAGATTTAGTTGTATGCCACTAAGCAAGGCAACCAGCTATACTATCTTCCTTAATGGATAGTGCTTGTTCTTTAATTAACAGCTCAAAGCACTTCGTTGTCTGGCCCTGATTTTCTAATACCACTGAAATCTGGGCATAGTGATCTGGGCATAGCAATGATAACTCCATAGAAAAGTAAATTCCAAGTGCTAAGCTATTAATCAGGTAATGTGATAAGCTCTTGTAAGACCCCAATCACCACTCTGGATGGAAAAGAAAACTTCCATGTAAAAAGATTCCAGATAGCTGGGAGTATAAAGAACTATAAACTCTGGTAATGGAAAAGGAGGAGCTTCTAGCAATTCTAATTACAACTAAGCACCCACTTTGGGGAACTGTGAGGCAATTAGCACTAAGATCAGTCACTGCTGATATTTGAGGTAAGAAGCAGAATAGAGGACCTTTAAACTACTTGCATTTTGCTTTTTCAGAGGAGCATCGCAGATTATTCAACTGGTTTGCCAGAATTTTTCATACTGCCAACCTTTGAATAGATTTTATTAGATAGCCCCAAATTGAAGGCCCCCTAGACAATTAGCAGAAGTCAGATATATTTTAATGTATTCCCAACTGATTGGAAATAATCAGAAGGCTGGCAAATCTTTACTAATGCTCAATTTACCCACTTCCTCAATTTAAAAAAAAAAAAATAAAACCCATGCCTAGAAAACAAAATGAGGTAGGCCTGTTTTAAGATGCTAAAATGAAAATAGTTGCTCTTTTCTGGCTCCTTGGGTGCTTTCCCACATGCTGTGACACAGATAGAAAGTGATATTCCACTATTTATTCCACATGTACTGTTATTTCACAGTAAACTCAAAATGTAACCTTATCAATACAGAGCATCTATCAGCTGGAGTAAAAACTCTTGGCAAAATTGAGTTTTCTGGAGAGATGGTGCTGCCCTCTTATTCCACCAAATGAAAACTGATTGAGAATGCAGAAAATCTCTAATAACCACCCTTGGCAGAGGCGGGGTTGGGGGAGAGTAACTGTGTTTCAGAAAGCTTTCTTTTGCTATATCACTGACTTCTGGAAATCAGGGGATTTTGCTTCTAGGACAATGCGGTACTCACCATTTATCTTTAGAAGATTGGTGCAGAGTCAGTTTCAGTTTGACCCATTGCATTTTTAGACCAGAACTGATTTTGCCTAGTCCAGATCAGAGGGCTTAAGTTACTTACCCAAGATCTCATAGTGATTAATGGTAGATATCTGAGATATAAAAGCAAAACCGTGTCACTTCAGGGTGTATACCGTATTTCCTGCTCCAATGAAGGTACAAAGTTCTACGTGCTACCTACCAATTTCCTCTTGCTTTTCCTAGTACATTTTTAGGGGGTTTTGCCTAGGTGAATAATTATTGTGGTGGCTACATCTTTAAAGTCAAGAATCATATTTTTAGATCTGGATGAAACATTGGAAGTATCTAGGTTAATCACTTCACAGACAAGGAAATTTAGACCCGGGGAGTTTATTAAAGCCCAAGATTTGGTGACAGAGCTGGGAGTAGGACACAGTCCTCTTGAATTTTAACCTGGTAGATTGTCCACTAACACATAATACTGTTTTATATATGTCTGAAGCTAAGAAGGGAAAGATGGACTGAAAACATAGATTTGGAAATTGTCAGCATGTGGGGTAATTACTCCAGGCTCTATTGGTTTTCTTTCTAGACCTCTGACCTCTCCTTTTGCACTCATCCATCCACCCAACCATCCATTACTCTAGAAATATTTATTGAACATCTATTATATGTCAGATATTTTTCTAACTGCTAGGAATACATTAGTGGAAACACAGACAAATATAACTACCTTTGTGGGACTTCATTCTATAAATTACATAGTTTGTTAAAAGATAACATGTAAAAAATAGAGAGGGTAAGTAGGATTGGGAGTGTGGTAGGGAGGGTTGCATTTTTAAATAGGTTGTCAGAGTCACTGACAAAGAGACATTTGAACAAATACTTGAAGAAAGTGAGTTAGTAAGGCAGCTATTTAGGGGAAGAGTATTTCAGGAAGAGGGAAGAGCCAGTTCAAAGACCCTGTAATAGAAGATTGCCTGGTGAGTTTATGGAATAGCATGGGGGTCAATATAAATGTAACTGTGAGTGATGGGCAGGAGAGTAGTAGGAGACAAAGTCAAACAGATACTATGAGAGAGTGAGGAAAGATCATCAAGGGTTTTCTAATACATTAAATTGACATTAGCTTTTATTATGGGTAAAATAGGGAGCTATTAAAAGGTTTTGAGTGGGCCATGATATGACTCAGGCTCTTCTAAAAGGACTACTCTGCTTACTCTCTTGAGAATAGACTGTGAGGGGCAAGAGTGAAAGAGAAAAACAATTAGGAGGCTGTTGCAATAATTCAGAAAAATGTATAGTTGTATATATAAACTGGTTCATAGTAGTGGTTATCTTCAGGATAATAGAATTCTAGATTTATTTATATAAATTTGAAGGTAGATCTGATAGTTTTCCAACAGATTAAATATAGTGTGTGAGGTAAATAAAGTAAGTAAGGTTGACCTTTAAGTTTTATCCTGCGCCACTGAAAGGATGGAGCTGCCAGTATCTGATATGGAGAAGGATACTAGTGGAAATGGTTTGGAAAGATTAGAAGTTTCATTTTGAACATAATAAGTTGAAATATCTACTAGACATATAAGTGGAGATAACAGGCAATCAATTGAACTATAAATTTGGAGTTCAGAGACAAGGTCTGAGCTAAACATATAATTTAGGGTCACTGACATATATATGGTTTTGCAGCCATGAGATGATCAAAGGTATGAGTGTAGCTAGAGAACAAGTCCAAGGACTGAGCCATGGGGCTCTCTCCAATGATAAAAAGACAGGGAGAAAAGAAGAGCATAGGCAAAGGAGACTGTGAAGAACAAATCAATGTGGTGAGAGGAAAACCAATAGTTTTCCTGGAAGTCGAGTGAAGAAAGTGTATCTATAAGTATGGAGTAATCGACTGTATCATATATGGATATTAGGTTAATTAGGAAGATAATTGAGAATTACGCCCTGGCTTTAGTTGTGTTAGGCCACCAGTGCCTTTAAACAAGGGGTGGACCAAAAGCATAAATGAAGAAGACTTAAGAGAAAAGAGATAAATTGGAAAGATAAAAGTCTTTTGAGGACTTTGCTGCTAAGGGATGTACATAAGCAAAATATTCTTGCTCCTTTAAATTTTGAAATATTAGGATTACTCAGGGTGCTCTGACTGGTTGTCTTCCTTCTTGATCTATATAATCTCTCTGGTTGTCTCATTCTCATTCATTCTTACACCTTCAAATGACCCAATTTTTCAAGAGAGATGAAGGGATCATTAGCACTAAATAGAGCAGAGATAAAGGAATTTAAGGACTAAAAAGTATCCATTGGATTTAGCATCCAATATTTAAAAGGAAATACATTAGAGTGATGAATGATTAATGTTTTATTTTCAGGATCTTGTTTGGAAGTGTTTCAGGAGAGGGTAGACTTGGATTCCGGCTGGAGAGGAGTGTGAGATCAGGAAGCAGTTGAACTTAGCTAAAGAATGGGTAAGTAGCAAGTAGAAATGATGGATTGAAGATAGTCACATGAAACGTATCAGTGAAAGACTTTTGGAATCAAGTTGGACTCTGAATTTGTAGTTACTGGGAACCCCAGTACTTTTAGAATTCTGTATATGTGAAAAGTACCTGGATGAAGTGTTAGTTGGAAGAGAGGGGAAGGAATTGATGCTAAAGATACTTTCTAATGAAGCAATAAGACATAAATAGCCACTATATTCATGACCTTATTGCTGAGAGGGCTGTTAACAAAAATGGCACTTTTGCTATGATTTTAAGCTTCTGCATTAGTATTTCCCCCACTCAATTAAACCGAGTGCCCTTTTAAACAAAATTCAAGTTCTAAAAACGAAATAGAATACCAGTTTATTTTAAGCTATGTCAGGAATATTATTTTTCCGAAAGGGAGAGAGAGAGATAGAAACATCAATTATGAGAGAGAATCATTGATTGGCTGCCTGGATCCCACTGGGGATAGAGCCAACAACCCAGGCAAGTGCCCTTGACCAGAATCAAACCTGGGACCGTTCAGTCCGCATGCTCTATCCACTGGGCAGGAATGTTATTTTTTAAAATCCAATTCCAAAGCCATGTTTCTTCGCAGAAGCCACTACTTTATTAGTACTAAATGCCCTGTCAGCATCCTTATAACAAACCTGAAGAACTAAAGGATTGAGTCCTGAAGGTAAAATGCTTCCCTCTTGCTCTGTGGTCCTTCCAACTCATAGTGAGAAGGAAATCTGTAGGTGGGAAAATATAAATGTGTTTGAGAGTTGTCTGTTTACTTTTATAGAGACTATCAAAAGTTAGAGTCTCTTTAAGCCATATATTTCTACATTCATTTAAAGACTCAGCAAGGAGGTTTATGTGTTTACACAAAATATCAGTGCTAATTTTGAAATTCAGGAACTGAATATACTTACAAAGTAATCCCTTGCACCCAATATAGACATTGCAGAGTATGAGCCATTCTGTTAGATTAGACTTAAGACTATGGGAGCCTAGTGCAGGCTAGTAATGTGATAAATGAGTGATTAAGCCAGTAGGGCTCTACTTTTATATAAGCAGAAGTTTTAACACTGTAATGCCTAAATTCATGGCTTTTGAAATTAAAAAAAGGTAGTAACAGAGATGCACAGCTTTCTCTATTCTAACAGCAACAAGTAGAAGAAAGAGAAAAAAGTCCATTGCCCATTTGTTGGGACAGTGGCACTAAGAGTAAGAGACAATGGTGCAGCAATGCCATTCATTGAGGCACTAAACACAAATCTAGAGATGGCCAAATGAGCTGGCAGGTAAGGTGTACTAGGGTCATCTTATTCTCCATTCCCCAATTCTCCTGTGACATGCTAATTATTCTCCTAATTCAGTCCTCTGAGATGCTGGACTCCTAAGTTTCTTACTGGACTGGAAGGAATACCCCGCTGACAAGTTCAAAGATTGGAAGAAGGTATAAGAACATTTTTCACTAGCAAGAAGATTTGCTCAACCAACTCTGACCGATTCTAAAATCCTCTCAGTTCTGAGCAGACCATACTAAGTAGAATCTGGGTCCCTGGCAGGGCCTGATTCCATGATTAACTGGTTCCTATGTAAAGTAGGAAATATGAAAAAAATTTCAAACTTCAAACATGTCTGAAGTCACATGTGAAAGATTCATGTTTATTGTGTTAGGCAAGTTCATTTGATCTATGGCCTAGACTCTTAAGTGTGTCCCTTAACAGTTAAAAAAATATTTTTATTGATTTTTAGTGGGGGGAGCCGAGAAACATCAATGTGAAAGACTGGCAGTCTTTCAGTGCACGGGACGGGACTCAACCAACTGAGCACACCAGCCAGGGCCCTTGATAAACAGTTTTAGTAGCACTATAGTGGTAGCTCTCTTAAGTAGGCCACCCAGTATCACTAGAACTGTGGGAAAGGCTTTAAGGAGGCTTAGGTTATGTTTAGTTATAGCTTTTGATCATTTAAAGTAAATAAAACCCTAAGTAGATCTGGGAAAAAAATGAGAGTCAATTATTATTGCAGCTACATTTACTAGTAAACTGAAAAATGGCCACCATATATTTGAAGATGTTTTTAAGAGTCTAAGGAGAAACCTATTAATTACTGGCAAGATAGCCATCTAGATCATTTCCACATGAACTGCATTGACTGAATAGCTGCAAGTAGTATGATTCAATCTCAGTATTCCTCTTTGCCCTCACAGTAAATTGAACCTGACCTCACTGCCTATTGCAGTCCATCAGTTGAATAGCAGTAGTTTGAGTGATGTGTGAATAACTCATAGCAGTGGAGGATCTTTAGCACCAGATTTACATTCTCATGTGCCTCAGGTAGGCTTAGAACACACTCTATTTATGCCATCATCAGAATGTAAGCCAGTTATGAAAAAGAGAGACTGCAAATGACAGTGTTGAGCAATTTGTGTCAGGTGCCTCTTTCTGTTCCAACACACTAGAATTCTTTACTATACGATATTAAAAATACGCTTTATCATTTGAATTGTCATCAGTACATATAAATCTACTGCTCTGTGCATAAAAATCAGCCTTGCCTAGTAAGAGAAAATTTTTCTGTCTTTAATTTTCTATGTGAAGCTTCTTTACATACATTTATGAATCTCTTGAATATTTTTTTAAAAAAGAAAAAGGTGTTCCTAGATAAGAAAACATGATTATTTATGTGGAGAAAAAAAGCAGAATATTACTTGGATTTGGAGGGAAAAGTGTGCAGCTTTTACAGTGTATGATCTCTTTTACTACTGGCATATCTGGTGGAATTGGAGGAGGTACTATTCCCAAGCCAGGCATCATTGGAGTTATTGGTGGAATTCCGGTCATCATTCCAAGAGCAGGATCAAAGTCTAAAAGAGGAGGAGAGAACAATAAATGATACCAGGAAAAGTCAAGTGGAGGCAGAATGTCAATTTATAAGCTTCACACCAAACATCTCTCTAACACAGAGGCAGAATATTTAAGATAACATGGTATTAGCCCCAGGTCTTAAATACTATATTAAAGTATACTTGTGCATTTTCCTTTTGGGATGGGGCTTTTTAGTTATATTTGACTAGTGCCTATTCATCTCTAGATCTCATTTTGATATCCAACACCTTTAATAATATGACTGTGCCTTGTCTATTGGTCTTGCCTTCCACTGGTTTTCAACACACACACTCTGTTCCATTCACACAAGGCCTCTACTGTCCTCTGCAACACTCCCTGGCTTTCTGCAGATTAGCATGGTGTTAAGAACATGCAGTTTTGCGGATCATGCAGACTTGGGTCCTAGTTATACCATATGTTTAGCAGAATGAACCGTTTGAACCTCCATTTCCCTTCTTTCCTGTGATTCTATCTACTTTATTAGGAGTTGTGAGGACTAAATAAAATGATGAATGTAATGTGCTTAACATAGTGGATAGCACAAAATGCCCAAAAAAGAGAACTATTTTATGTTTTTCTTCACGTTGATCTCCCTGTGTGGAATCATTTGAGCCTCCTAAAATTCTAATCCTGGCCACAAGCCTGGCTTAAGACCCAACCTCCTTAAAGAACCCTTTCCAGATAATCCTGGTTCATTTTTAACTCTATGTCTAAAACGATTTGTTTTACACATGTTGCCACTGAGTTTTATTTTATACCATGTTTTGTTTCATTCAAGGATGCTTCTAGGATGTATGGGGGTCCCCAATCAAATATTTTTGTGGGGCTTGTCTATATACACAATTTGATTCACTCCAAATAAGCACCAACACTATTCTGTTGCAACAATCTCATGTGATATTATTAAAGAAACTAGAGGACCGGTGCATGAAATTCGTGCATGTCCCTCAGCTCAGCCTGAATGCTCTCCAATCTGTGACATCCCTCTCATAATTCAGGACTGCTGGCTCCCAACTGCTCATCTGCCTACCTGCCTGATTGCCCCTAACCACTTCTGCCTGCCACCCTGATGACCCCTAACCATTCCCTTGCCGGCCTGATTTCCTCTCCCCTGCCAGCCTGGTCACCCCTAACTGCCCTCTCCAGCAGGCCTGGTCACTCCTAACAGCCCTCCCATGCCAGCCTGATCACCCCAACTTCCCTTACCTGAAAGCCTGGTCACCCACAATTACTCCCCTCTGCAGGCCCGTTTGCTCCCACCTGCCCTCCCCTGCTGGCCCAGTCACTCCTGACTGTTCTCCCATGTAGGCCAGGTCCTCCCCCCCCCCCGCAACTGTCTTCCCCCTGCAGGCCTGGTTCCCCCCAATTTCCCTCCCTTTCAGGCCTGGTCCCTCACCTGCTGGCCTGATTGCCCACAACTGCCCTTCCCTGCCAGCTATCTTGTGGTGGCCATCTTGTGTCCACATGGGGGTGGTCATCTTTGACCACATGGGGGCAACCATCTTGTGTGTTAGAGTGATGGTCAATTTGCATATTACCTCTTTATTAGATAGGATACCATATCTGGCAGCTGGAGTGATTTACTTGCCAGGTTTCTCTCCTGGAACTAAGACTCTGGGAGAACCCCATAAGCACGAATTCTGAGGCTTCTTGGGGGCATCTAGATGACTACACATGTTGGATAGAGAAGTGGAGAGTACCTCCAAGAGAAGATATGGGAACTGGTGTCTATGTAGGTTCATTTTGGGATTGGAGCTCCTTGCTTAGATGACACTGCAAGACCTGGTCAGTACTAACCACTGGAGGGGAACTTAGAAAAAGTCAAGAAAGGTGCTTCTTGCTATAAAAATTCTACACAGGACCTGATCTGGATGGACTTGGGGCACTTACCCTGATGGCATTACTTTCCTGGCCAATGCTTAGTACTGGAAGGGAACTTAGAAAATATCAAGACAAGCATTCCAAAGAATGGGGTGCCCTAAGGTGTAAACCCAGGGGCCCCGCTTACCTAGGTTTAAAGGTGGTACTTCACTGTGTACATTTTGTCTCTATATCCAAATGTAAGTTATTCGAGAGAAGGGCATGCATTTTACCTCTTTATTTTCCCATCTCTCAACCCTGCCCTCTGCTAACGAATGCACAGTGGACTGCAAACAAACTATTGAATAGTATAAGGACAGTTGCATTAGCAGTATCAGGTCCTATGCCTGAAAACTTGACTCTGCTCAATACACACAGGTCTGAGGGGCAATGCCTGTAAGCATGACCCTAAGGTGGCTCTGAATCCCCTGAGTGCTTCTCTAAGATTTTGCAGGAAGTAGATCTAAGCAGTGGGAAGAATCTGTGGTTCTTACAAAAGCAGAACTTCACATACAATGGTCCCAGTGTAAGGGAGTCTTGTGATTAGTCAGATAGGTGGCAGGGGGTGACACATGGGCATCCCCCATTACAAGCCAGCCAAGAGAGTTTAGGCATTCCTCATCCTCTCATATGTCTGTCATGCTGAGAGGTCAAGACCCTATATATGTATGGTATGAAAAAATTTTCTTCTAAGATTAAATCTTATTTTTCTGAAAACAAATTTACTTTTAGCCCATATATGTCACTTCACCCAACATACATGTGTCCACACAAACACACTCCTTCCCTTCGTCCCTGTGATTCTCATATCCCTACTCTCCTCCACATACTAATTATATGACCTTGAGGCAGGTTTCCTAATAGCTGTGTGCCTCCATTTCCTTTTCTTTTTGTAAAAGTGGAAATAAATAATGAGGTTTATCTCAAATAATAAAAGGATAGAACAGATAAGAAAACTACTGGCATGATAGGTATTAGTCCTAATAGGTAACTTTACTTCTTGTCATTCAAAACATGTATATATGCACTAATAAATTCACTTATTCAGGCATTCATTACCACAAGCCTTCAAACATTTGTGACAGCCTTCCATATTTCAGGCTTTAGGCTAATGGAGATGGGGGTTCAGGTCTTCCTTTGAATTTTTGAGAACTTAAGGCTCCTGATACTCTATTCCTGTGCTATGGAATATGAACAATGAAAATTTCATTCATTGTGTACAAGATTTTGGAAACACTGTTAACATTACTTTACCCATTTACAAACTGTTAATTTTCAGTAGGAAAAGAGTAGATTAAATCGTGTGCCAACTAAACAATCCCATCTATTTCTCCCTCCTACTGAAATGTTTGTCTTTCTTTTATTCTGTCTGCCTCCTCATTGTTATTCATATAGCTCTGTCACTCACAGCTCTACTTTACCACAGATTACAGAAACATCAGTTCATTAAACAAGTTCTCCCACTTCAACTGAGAAAGAAATGTCTATCTCCATGTACTGTCTACTAATAAATGGAGACAAACAAAAAGCAAATACACAGGATAAATATAACTCCTGACTAATGTACTCACCACTCTGCTGTTTGGTATGATTACATTAATATTTTATGAAATTCATTTAAAAGAAAATGTATTCATGACATATGGCCAAAGCCAGAGTAGATAAATTCCCTTTCTTCCTTGTGTTCAATATGCCAAGAGTTCCACAGACTACACTGCCCAGCAGAGCTTGCTATAAGGCAAGTTGTACATGAAATTACAAAGGTTCCTAACACATTGATTACTTCTTTATTTTCAAACAGTAAGCAGCAAAGGAGACGTGAATTTTCAATGCCAACTAAGAAAATAACCATTTAAAATCATGTGTCTTTTATAACATTGAATAACCCGAAAAATCAAAGAAGTCCAACAATTTAAAACACCTTGGGAACAGAACACCAGAGAAATTCTCTTCCTTTTCCATATCCCTGACCTGGATTGAGGAGTAGTATCGGCAAGTACTTAGTACTACCACTTATGTTAGGAATTTAATCTTATGAAGGAGATTTAAAATCACTTTATAAAATATTGTGGAAAAGCCAAGATGTATTCCTTCAAATACCCTGTTCTATTTTGCTTTTACCATTTCTTTTTCTAGCAATTTTCCCAATGCTTTATTGACTCTTGGCACAGTAATTGGTGGCAGTGTCATAAGATGTTGGTTTGTACTCCCTTTTCTGAACTGTGCACTTCCCCAGATCCCAGCTTACCAGAAATTCTGCAAATGCTGTGTGCTAGTTGTGCTACCTAGTTCCTCAGAGTTAAAATCATGTAATGTATTAGTGTAGCCTTAACCCTTTGTGCTGGTTAGGAATTTGTACTTAACTAAGCCTAGAGTAGTTACCTGGAAATATTATCAGCCTCCATTCTCTGTACAAATCTGAGCTAGGGAATCACAAAGGAGGCAAATGCCATTTCTATGCTGCAGTTAAATCATCCATTTGTCCATCCATTCAATATTTTGATGTCAGACCCTCTACCAGGTGTTCAGTTTGGAGACACGAGTAAGACAAAATCCTTGACCTCATAGTTTAGTTTGGAAAAAGTCAAGCAAACAGTTGCAATGTTGTATCATTAATAAATGTGATCAGTATAATTGTTTATTGGGTGCTGACAAGGTACTAAGCATTGTGCTAAGTATTTTATATAATCTCACTCCAAAAGACCTGTGAGCTAGGTATTCTTTTCTTTTTCATTTTACAGATAAAGAAACATGGGTTCATAGGGGTTTAGTTACTTGCTCAAGGTTACACAGCCAGTAAGGGGCAGACCAAGGATTCAAAGTCAGGTTAGTCTAACTCTGGTGCTCTTAACCACTGTAATGACACTCGATGTATTGACAATTGTTTTAATGAATTAATTTAATTGCATGTATAAGGCAAAGAAGATGATGTGCTACAAAAACATGGCAGATGAATAACAAAATACTTCTATATAATTAATTTCCCCAGAGCCACTGTATTGAACAATTGTTGTCACTGTACTATTGCTCTGTGGACTGGCCAGTAGGAATAATGTCAGATGATTGACACTGTGCTAGATGTATAGTACACTGCACCCTCTCCAATCCAGAAACCCTT